AGCCTTTTTATTTTTTTCTTACTTTTCAAAAATCTTAAGCACAGCTTGAAAAATATATCTATCAATGATGAGTGGGAAGCTTTTCCGTGGCAAGCACAGGAGCCTAATCTGACAGTATCAGCAGAATTTAAGGTTTTGAAAAACAAGAAAATCTTCCAAATCCGAACGGAGTGCAAACCAACTGCAGTGCTGTCTTCCTTACCCTGGCTGCTCCCCTACCTGGATTTCTACTGCTCTCAGCTGCGCCAAGCAGCAGCAAAGAGAAATTAGCAAGACTCTGGTCAGTTTCATTGCTGCCATTCAAAACCCAGTTGGGCAGCTATGAAACTGACATGAATCATGTAAATGTCATGCTGTTGTTCCTTGGAAAAACCAGTGTCTTTCCCCATGTCATCCTGGTTCTCTGAATATATCACTGGTCGTTTCGTCAGTACTGGGGTCTCACCTTCTTACCATGAGACAGGCTGAAACTTCAGCTCTAAGGGATTTTGGGACCACAAGGCTGTGAAAGCTGCCAGTCTTTCACACAGTGGCTACATGCTCACCCTGAGCCTTAACAGCTGTTCATGGAACTTTTTCACACATCTGCCATGAGCTCCACTGCAGATTCCAACCACAGCAGCATCTGATCCACTTTCCTCTGTTCACCTCTAGCTTCAGGGGACACGGATCATAGGCTTTGAATCCGTCTAAGCAGTGCCCCAGAGGAATAAGCTGCACCCATGACTACCTCTGAAGCACTGTAATGAGCTCAAATGTCTTCTTCAAAAAAGACTGGACTTGTCTGTGGAGCAGAGTGAAACCCCACCTTTGAGATCTATTCTCTCCTTTGCCACTCTGGAAAGTGCAACACCCACTCGCAGATCCTCAGTAAACACCTCCGTTTCTCTGTCAACAGATTCAGCACTTGCCCAAGCAGGGTGCAGAGCCAACTGATCCGGGCATGTCCACTCTCACATCACAATGTCCTACCCCATGACCTGGAGGTTGGGGACCACCGGACAAACAGGCTGCAGTCTTGATGGGCAACAGATGGGGGCAAAGGCGCACTTTGCCCCTTTTTTCTTGGATATGATCCTTTAGGCCCTCCCACCCCCACAATGAAGGGAAGGGAGAGAGTATTCCTTGGCAGCTGCCCCAGTGTTGTCCTCTTGGTTACTCCCCGGGAAACCTGTGGGTGTCAGATATGCTGAGTCCCACAACAGGCAATAAGCAGCTCACTGGGGACAGCTACGAAGTATGGGTGTCCCAGTGCAAGGGGAATTTCTGGGGTCACAAGCTCTTCTTTTCCCTTCAGTCCTCTGCATCTGCCAGCAAAAGTAACGATCTTTCCACCTGTTGGAAATACCAACAATAAGCTTACACAGAGAGCAAGCCCCCTGTGTACAGGGGATGACACCTCCAAACACATTTTGCATACTATCCCCATCCTCTGCCAGGGACAAATTATACCTAAGCATCTGGACTGGCATACGGGATCAAAGAGAATCTACAAACAGGACAGACTGAGTGAAAGTGCGATGGCAGTCTTAATTTATTAATTCACTAAACCAAATCATAAAAACCGTAAAGCTAAAATAAAATCAATCAATCAAAGAAGACAGCGTGTGATGCTCAGAATGTCTTTATTCCTTTTCAAAAGTCACACACTGACAATCCAGACAGAGGAGGAGGTTTGAGCTTTGCATCACACTAAAGCCATCAACCTGGCTGAAACTCTACTCTGCACAACAGCATCTTTCAAAAGATGTTTGTTACTCTTAAGTGTCAATGGGAAGTAGCCTCGGGAAGAATGGCCCAGTGCCTAACACGATACACTGTAAATCCCAGTCTGTAATGAACACCCTTTGAGAATAATCACCACAGAGTTTTACCTGTTGTTTGGGCAGCAGGGGGTTCTCATCGCCAGCTGTGACCGACAGAAGACTTAAATGAACAAAAACATCAGGGCCTGATCATGCAAGCTGCATGTACCCTCAACCTGCCTTGATTTCTGGCACACAACCAAAGGCAGAGTCTCTAACATCTTTATGTTCTGGGATCCCTGCAGATCCAGGAACTAAGAGCTCAACATAATTAATTTTTATTTTGAGAATTATGGAGATCTCTCTTCTGGGGATTTGTTACATCCGTACGATATCATCCAAACAGTAGTATTTCCATCCTCTAAATCGCCAGTTATGAAGAAATATTAGCAATGATGGAAAATTAAAGCCTGTTTTGTTGTTTGTTTGCCAGACTAGGACTGTGATTCTTTATGTTCAGCATCATTTTCAAACACGGCCTCAGCTAAGAACAATGTGCGTTGTCTCTAGGAACACAGAAATTGACATCCTGGGTATCCCGTCTCCAGTTATACTGTATAGTTTAACAGGTACAACCATCTGTGGGAACAACTCTTTTCAGGTTAGCTTAAACCCCTTCCCAAAAGACATGAGCTAAACACAGAAAAGGGCCTCACACCAGAATAAAAGGCTTTCATGACGGAATAAGAGTAACCACACAGGGATTACGTTCTATTGGTTAAAATTCACACTTTAGCTTATACCAATATAACTTTCCTGTGTAGACAAGCCTGTAGATGCTGCTTTATGTCCTGAAGCGTGAGGGTTCAGATCTCTTCCCAAACTCTTTTAAAAAATATTTACTATTGTAACTAGATATCTGTGCTACCCATCTAAAATATCCTAATTACCCCTGATAAGTTCTTGGCCTCAATAATATCTTGTTACAATAAGTTCCACAGTTTAATAATACATTGTCTTAAAAAGCCTCTATCCGTTTTAATTTTTCTCCCTATCAATTTCATTTAATGTCCCCCTGTTCTCACATTATGAGAAAGGATGAACCAAAGATCCTAATGTAACTTTGTTTATAAACCATTCTTTATTTTATACACTTTTTATCATGGTTCTCATTTGTTCCTTCTCTAACGAAAATAGCGTGTCATACAAACCAAAGTTGGCCAGACATCCTTTCACATCCTAAAAAATATCCTGTGTGTTATTTTTCACTGCCTTTTTTTTTTTTTTTAAACAGACCTGTATCTGTGAGGTAAACTGAGAAAAACACAACAGCTACATCTTTTCTGGAAGATAAATAGCAGGCTAGCTATCATAATTGTAAAGGTGACCACCCTTTCTAGTATCATGTTCCCTTGCACAGTAAAAGTCTGTGCACTCTGAAAGAAGAGCTTGACTTGAAACAGTGATGCAACAAATTTAAAGATCCCTCCTGCAAAGTCAATGAGCGGATCTCTCGACCCCTTGGGCTACATACAGCAGGGGGCAGGATCAGCTGTAGGAGGAGTAAAGCCTTACTACCTGGTATCAGTTACATTAATATCTGAAAGTGTCAAAACAATGATTAATCAATACTTCCCACTGAGCACAATGCCTTTGTTTTCAATAGAAGCATTAGAATTTCTCTCCTTCTAACACAGTGATCATCAAAAATCATGGCATGAAAGAGAGCCAGTTATACTGGAACATCTGTATCAATTTATGTTGTGTTAATATATAGTAAGGGGAAGCAATTCATTTTAGTACAACCACTTTATTTAAACCACAGGATTAAAGATTCTTTGCGTTAGTCTTTGAAAATGTACAGCGTGTTCCTGTTCTCCCAAGTTTTACTGATTGACACTGTAGAGAAATATGTGTAAGGAAAAACAACGTTTAGAATCTCTTTTTGAGCACAATGTCTTCATCTTCTTGGTCAGTCCATATAAAATAAGGCGTATTGGATTAAAAGAGTCAACCAAGCCATCTGAGATACCAGGATAGACATCTCACTCCCTTTGACAGCCACTGATGGAGAAATACCAGCCTCAGTCAGTAAGACATAGAAGTAAAAACAGGTGCTGGCACATAAAGGATTATTTCGCTTTGCTATTTGAAAAGCTGCCCACTGGAAAATGTGCAAGTTTATTTGACAAACCACAGCTGGTCACAATCTGATCCTACAATATGGAAGTATGTGGGGTGTCATAAATTCCTCATAGTCATCCAGAGAGAGTGAAGTTTAAACCCTATTTTAAAATAAAGGGGACATACTAAACACATTTGAGCACACTGTCAGAACTATGCTAAGTATTGATCTGGAATGGCCCTTGTCACATGGCAATTTCCTCAATAGTCTTAGATCTTGAAAGAACATGAAGGGGACATGGAAGGTTCTTTCTTTCTTTACTTTTTCTTCAATCTACTTTTTCGTACTAGAGCCATTTATGCAACCACATCATGAAAAATGTGAAGATTTGCTGGTTTTAGTCATTTATTCCACTTCCTTTTATTTTGTTTTAATAAACTGTGATTGACTACACTAGTCAAGAAAATGAGATTAATAATAGCTAATATCAAACACAGAGCAGTCAATGGGTACAAAAACTGTACTACGCACTTGCAAATGGACTTCAATCCTGACAAACACCACTATCTTTATTCTTACTGGGCCTCACCTGAGCAGAGGGTAGACCTCATTTTACTTATGTCCTTGGTAAGATTTGAACCCAAGTAGCCACGGATGAAAGGCTAGTGCTTTAAAGAAATGTACTGCCTGCCCTCCAAATCTATCACTTAACATTACCGGATCATTAAATACAAACACATGATTTCTCAACTGCTATTGTGAGAGATGCCTAGCTGTGACTTACAGAGAATACTATTTATAGAAAGCAATTAACTCCAGTGATACTGACCTGTGGAAAACACCTGGAGAGAAGGTTGACTGCAATGATCTAATGAATACCATCACCTCTTTTCACTAAAATGCTGAAGTGGATTTCACAGAAGGGCCTATCCATTATCACTTCATATACATAAAGATGTGCTGACCCAATATTGAATACACAATATCTGTAATTACCATTAGAATGTAATTGTCTGACCAAAGTGAAGCTTTATTTAGGAGTAATATTCTTCATAAGGAAAAGTAGGTTAAGCTAATATAATAAAGGCTGTGTTGAGCCAATATTCCCAATTTACTAAAATTCGACTTACTTGAATCTGTTGAAATCACTGACCCTTGTGTTAAGCCATCAACATCCTCATCTTCATCTGTGGAAAGAAAAGTTTCAAGGAGACGGTTACCTTTTAATTGCACAAAATAATAGTTGAATCTTATTTTAAAATAGTTTAATGGAAGTAACAAAGACAACAAAAGTCACAGGGGGCGCATACACTACAGCAACAACCACATTTCCTCTTCCAATACTTAGCTTTTTAAAACTGAAATCACTACCACAACATCCCAATGAATGTAGCAGTGTAACATACACTGACAATAAGAATTAACATGTAACTACTGTGTGGGTTATAGCCTCAAATTCTCTCTCACTGATTGTCTCAGTATTACTATTTGCAAATTTCATCAACCTGTCATGTCTGCCTATAAATTAAAAATATACTTTCTGATCATAAGTTTTAAACTATGACATTGTAACAGGAATCAGAGTATTAAATGGTGTCCGATCAGATCTATCGATTTAATAAAAATAATTCTAGAACTGAATAGTTGCAAATAACACAAGATTTTGTTTGTCCAGCTCTAGAAGAGAAAACTTGAGTTGATTTATTACTTAAAACTGGGAGTCAAAGTATTAGATGATATTTGTAGTTTATATATTCAAATGTTTAATGTTGGCAAAATAATTAAGAGGAAATTACTGACCTGTGATTGTGCTTCTCTGAAGGTATCATCCTGACTGAAATCTCACTCCTGTGTCTCGCTTCTCTAGTGCGAGACGGATGGAACTTCCTCTTGACAGATTTCGTTCTCCAAGAGCAACAATAGCAAGGTGGAACACAAGCCAGACCACCATACTGATAGACATGTGGCCTCCACACAGTTTAACTGCTGCCCTTGGAAACCTCCAATCAATTACTGACTGTGATTGGCCAAAAATAAAAAAAAATTTAAAAAAAAAAAAAGTCAGCCAATAAAAAAAATGATTGAAAATCTGACTCAAGAAGAGATGAAAAAAAATCAAGGCCCCCCAAACACCGCTTCAACAAAGATAAACCTCCAGGATTTGAGGAAAGGTGGGTGAGTGAGTGAGAGAGAATCCTGATATAATGAAATCTTCAAAGATGCAGAATTACAGGTCAGTAATTTTCCCTTCTCTAAAACTACCATTTACCAGAATTCTCACTACTGGAGAGTAAACAACTTGACAGATCTTTCAGTGAAGAGTTATAGTAATGTTGCAACAAGTAAAAAAAACAAGTTCCAGTCTATTTAACCCTCCCTTGTTCCTCCTCCTCCTATTTATGTTTATGTAGGTCTTTTCCTATTTTATTACTGTAACCCCCACCCAAATCTGTTATGTCTTTATAGGATTGTGTGGTCTTGCAGCTTTGACAAATTGTAAGATTACATAATTCTCTTTAAGATCCCATGAAGCATGTGGCATTTTGGAACGTATACAAGCTATAAGTCATTTGCCTTTTTGGCCTTTCCATTGTTTGGTTTTATTATATAAAAATCAATACAAAATTAATCACCATACCAAAAGGCTAATGCCAACAGTGTTACCAGCAATGGTGTTTTGGAGATTATGGTTTTTAAATAAAGGAGAGATCCGACATTTGCCCATCACCACCATAAGTAACAACAATAGCATCCTGCACGATTAATTAGAACCAAAACTCGAAAAACTGTATAGCATCAATACAGGACAACTCCAAAGAAACAAAACAGAGCTTAGACTTTCTCTCTTGGAAAGGAATTCTGGAACATGGAGACCCTAAAAGAGAATTCCTTCTGGACTCCAAGCAAAAACGCTTTGTGAAAGCACAGAGAGTGCAACGAGCCTGCCTTATGTATATCTGGGATGGAAATATCCTTTGCTGTGATCAAGCCTTGACTGGCCAGCCACATCACAGCCATGCAAAAAGCTAACAGTTAGAAAGGGCTGCTTATCAAGTCGGTGCAAAATGAAAAAGTGTGATGGTCTTTCTAAGGCATTAGTCAGCTCTAGTTAAAGATCTATGGACCTCTGAACCTCAAGGATTTAGAGGAGATGGGCATTCAGGCATTGGAAACAGACTAGAGAGAATAGGGTCATTAAGGTGGAACTTGATCACCTCTAGAGAAGAGCCTCAAATGAGTTTATAGCAACAGCTTATCCTTAGGCGATTTGGTATAGACAGGAAGGAATGCTTTCAGGGCCTGAGGCTTGCTCACTCAGATACAGTCGCTACCACCACTGAAATGGCCATTCACGTAAGAAATTAAAACTCCTAGGAACCAGGTGGTTCAAAAGGAGCTTTCCAGACTGAAAGGAAACAAGAGGGATGGAAGGAGAGACATCCCCACAGTCACCAACAACAGCCTGCAAATACCACTCTCCCCTGGAGGAAAAGAGTTGGGAATAGCTCCCTGCACCCACTACTTGCCACAGCCCCTACACCGGTCTGTCCTCAAGTCCAGTGGGAGCGGAGCTGGCATCTATACCCCGTGCTCCTGGGCCTGTCACCCACGCCAAGGGAAATGAGCAGGAAGGCTCTGCACTGTCAACAAGGAGTTTGCACAGGATTTTATATAATGTTTAAGCAATTTAATATCTACCCTCGTATATCAAACTGTGTTGGCAGGTACGTTCCTACTGGGGGCCAGGCAGCAGGCTCCGGAGCTGGGATGCACTGTGACACCATGGTCTCAAATGATGATATGAGGCCAGAGACTCATTCTGAGGGGAGCAGCTTTTACCATGTAAAACTGCGTTGAAAACCACTCTTGCCTGGGCCAATATGGTGCTGTTATGATAACTGAAATTCCGTCACTCTTGAGCTTTGAACAGACCTTGATACAAGAGGTGTCAATGGAAAAAGATATAGCACCATCCTCCGTCAGCAAATGGGGAAGGTATCTTTTAGTAGTAGTAATAAAAGACTGGAAGATTCTTGTTTAGGTCGGAGGTGATGCAACTCACCTCCAGCATCCCACACTGGAGGAAGGGGTGAACCGAGCAGCCACTCCCCAATCCAGAAGACATTCAGAAGGATGCAACACAGATCAACTCAAGCTGACTGTGATCATGTGGTCTTTACTTGCTAGGTCTAGGATGAGGAGGAATAACTTGTGAGAAAATGCCCACTCCGGCCTCCCAAAGGCTTTCCCAATACACAGATTGCCCATTTGACTCAGGACCTCCTTTTGGAATACTAGGTCTCTGACCACCCTTAGCAGATACATGACTGACCTTATCAGAGTAACTGGTGAATGGCTACTGCTGGAGAGGCCAAATTCCCTTGGTGTAGAGTTCCACTGTGTGAGCTCCCTAGACTATACAGGAGATAGCCATGGCCACTACAAGTTACGGAGGTGGTTTTTGGAATTCCTCATTAAAAACTGTTCCTGGACAGTCACCACGTCAGACTTGCCCAGAGGGTCTCTGTTATTCAGGGGCAATGTAAAAAGTCCCTGTATTGCTTGTGCTTCCTCTGGTGTCTCAGCTCCAGAGAGGTTAAACTCAATGTGGAGATGTGCTACAGGTGTTGGCCAGGAGAGCCAGCATTTGCAACATGGGGTGAGTTGCTGCCTCCTGATTCTGACCATTGCACCCCATTAGACGGGTGATGCATCACACCTGACCCCTGGCAGGAAGGCTGGACATGAGCTGGGTAGCAGGGCTCGTACACATTCCAATGGTCAGTCTGCGGTGAGTTGAGGTTTTGGCTGAGTTACCGCAAACTCTGGTGACTCCCACACTCCAGTGGTGACACAAGCTGATTTGACACCCAACTGAATGAGGTCCTCCATCACCAACCAAATGAAGGAACACTTCACTGCCAGCCTGGCAGAGTGGCCCCAACTATTCCCAAGCATTTAATGACCATCCTTCCCTGAAGGCTAAACAAGGAACTAGCAGTGCGGCTCTCCTGTAACAAAACAGACATCAACAGGGCCTGAGAAATGCCCATAATATGCACACGAGCCTTAGAAAGACCCACAGCACATAGCCAGTCCCCCTTCTCTAGGGAAGGCAGCTCCCAGAGTGACCATCTTGAATTTTTCCTTGACCAAATAGGCAGCTCCCAGCCTCCTCAGTCAGGAAGGTCCTGACCAGCTACCGTGGCTGTACACACCCAGGATGCTTTCACAAACCCTTTAGTGCTTGGTGCTCACTGACAGGGAGCGTGGGACCATTCCATGACTGGTGTTAATGCAGAGTGCTCTACTCAGTGGGGTACTGAGTTGATGCAAAAGCCAGCTTCCAAAGCAGATTCCTTAGCCTTCCTGGAAGAAGGGATCTGAGAGACGAGTTAAAGGTCCAAAAGTGCAGAGTGACAACTGTCTCCTTGGCACTCAACGATGACACTTCCACCTGCTCCCCAAACATGTTATCTCCAGTGGAGGGTAGGACCTGGGAGTTGTGCTCAGGGCTGTGGGAAGAGCTCTGACCATAGAGGTGCCAAAGCCCGAAGGCAGGCAGCAGAATGCTGCATTCCAGGGTGAAGAGCACCAAGACAATGCCCTGAGTCCCACACACTGACAGGAAAGTACCATCAAGGCACTGAAGTGTTCAGAGAAAAACAGGGGCCGACTAGCTGACCAAAATGCTTCCAGCAAAAGCCCTCCCATGGCCATTGTTCCGGAGAGCCAGGCCTGCCTGAATGGCAGGCACTCTACTGCCGTGCTTCAGAAAGTCTGGGGAGAAGAACTGAAGCAGCAATGGCAGAAGCATAGCTCCTTTGCTGACCAGCCAAGAAGAAATGTCTGGTGAGGTCCAAGGCAGCTGTTCAAGTTAGCAGGCGGCACGCAACCTGAGAGGGGAGGGTGATTGGCTGGCGCGCAACCTGAGAGGGGAGGGTGACTGGCTGGCTGGCTGGCTCTCAACAGCACAACTGCCGCCTCAGTGATCAAAACTCTTTCAAAGCCTGGGGAGCTCTACCAATCTCATGCTAGGGAGCAGAGACCCAGGAGAGAGAATCCTGGCAGCTGGGTGGTATCTCTACAGAAGAGACTTTTCAGAGCCTGACTATATATCCTTTGTCTACATGGGCTGGAGCTGCAAAACATGGATCTGAATTTCAAACAGCCCAAAGTTTGTGTTTTGGTTTCACTTAGGAGAGTTGAAGGAATCATCCATAAAGTTCATATCCAAGTTCAGTTGGTTGTTCTGTTGGTTGTTGGATGTTCTGCTTTCTGCGCTTTGAATATGCAGATTTAATTACATGAAATGTACTCTGTTAAAATGTACTCAGGCAACTTGAATTTGGGTAATGCAACTTCGTATGATGAGCATATATAATCCTAAGTATTAAAATGGAGAAAACCTTTGTCTGTCACTTAATGTAACAAAGCTAGTGACTAGAAGCGGCAATTGTTAACATACTAGTCTTTCCTCCACAGAGATCTGGGTTCAAATTTCACTTAAAGATTGTTTAAGGATGCAAATAAGGAACAATGAATATTAAACTTGTGGTTTGTTTTTTTAAATGATGTATGAAGGCATCCTGAAAGGATGACCTCACAAGAGGAAAAATTACAGAATATTGAACTATAGGATTTTTAATCAGACAGTTTTAAAGTCTGGGTTTTGTTCATCCCAATTTAATGACTAACATTTTTGAGAATGGAAGACTTTGTTAAAGATTAAATGCCTAATAATATTCATTGTCTGAGACCCTGAGCAAGCCCTCCAGCAAAACCAGGGAGGTCCAGAGTAAACATTCCTGATATTTCTAAAATAAAAAACAAGTAGGAAAAAACCATTAAAACCACTCAATTTTCCAGCACTTTATGTACATCATAAAAAAGCAACAAAGGGTACAAAACCAGTTATTAAAAACCACACATTTGCAGGTCACTTTAAGTCATAAGTGAAACTAGGTTGGATGGTCTTTACCAGTTGTGTTTCACTGCATGGTTTTTGTAATATAGATAAATGTCCACTAAAAACTAGCTTGTCTCTGCTCAAGAGAGGCTCCAATAGTTGAGAGAGTGTAGGTCAGGATTGAGGTCCATTACCAGACACGCTGGGGTTATATTACAGCTTGTGCATGTATTACAGATGACTCTCGCTAGTGATAGCTATTAAATATCTATCTTCATGAGGACCAAGATACGCTCAAATGTTTAACACCACCACAGTAAACTAATGTCCAACTTCTCAGGAAGCTCTCAAGGAAACAAGTTTCTACATTTTAACCTCCCAAGACTGGCAAAGTTTGGTGTATTTATCTTCCCTTTCATTCTTAACGTACAAAAATAATTTCTAAGAAAAAAAGATAAGTTTACATTTGGGATGTTTGAAATTTAAAGCACAAAAAGAAACAAGGCAAAGGCATAAGAAAAGGCTTGCTCCTGAAAACTAAAGTAAATAAGTAATACATACACTAGGTGGCAGCAAAACGTTATCCTACAAATTAAATCCCTTCCACTTGGAAAGGGCAAATGTTTAATTACAAACAGGGAAAGCAAAATATTTCAACTAATAAAAAAAACCTAACATGAGTTGCTAAATAAAAGTAACATTTATATCGATTGCTTATATCATCCGCATCAGCATCCTAGTTAGTCAAACAAGACTCTGGTCTACGGTTTCCACAATATACACTACAACTGTTAAGTTACTAAATGTATGTGAGGTGGAGGGTAAGAAATGTTTGATCAAAAAAGGTGCTTAAAATGCAGTTTCTTTCTCCTCTGCCCCCCCGCCCTCCCCTTGCATATGGAAATTTATTTTTCCTATAAATGCAGAAGTGATATACTGCTGCTTCAGCTCTGGAATAATAGAAGCTACAGGTTAAGACATGATTTTGCTCACAGAAAAAACTGGTCCTCTCCTTCACAAAAAATGTCCTATGTTTGTAAATATACAATCATGTTATGTGCAAGTCAGAACTAAACCTTCTTTAGAACATGTTATAGCAAGAAAACCATATTTATAGTCAAACTCAGTAGAACTGATGCCAAATAGTCAAGCAGAAACATGAATTCAGGCTTGGTATTCTATACAGCAGGCTCTGTATTTAGGATCCATATCAGGTAGCAGAAGCAGCAGCCTTAGCTAGTAACAGATTAATATTACATCCTCAAAAAAGACATACTACATGATCAACAACCTTAAAAGATTCAGTTTAATATTGACGTAAAACACAGTAACTCCACATATTCAGCACTTTATTGGATACCATTTTCAAAGTCTTTACCTGGTTCTGTTTGCAGGCTCTCTGATATTCGAAAACAGTGCATTTTGCTGAAATTGCGAGAAACTAAACGCACACAATTCGGAGGAAGAATCATATTTCTTAATCTTCCAAAAGTACATTCTGGTGGTACAATAATGTAGCAAGAAGCATGAGCCTATAAACAGAAACATCATTAAACACTTGTCAAACCTCAGACATTAAACTTGTAAAAAAAATTAACTCACTATAACAAAATAGGCAGTGGCCTTGCAAACCATGCTGGAACAAATTCATACTTACTGTAAATTGGTCCATCTCCTGTGAGATGAATGGAGTTGCATCGACTTATATCAGGTTTGATTTTAACTCACTATATTTTTATTAAAAAGAAAAGGAGTACTTGTGGCACCTTAGAGACTAACCAATTTATTTGAGCATGAGCTTTCGTGAGCTACAGCTCACCGATGAAGTGAGCTGTAGCTCACGAAAGCTCATGCTCAAATAAATTGGTTAGTCTCTAAGGTGCCACAAGTACTCCTTTTCTTTTCGCGAATACAGACTAACACGGCTGTTACTCTGAAACCTATATTTTTATTGACATAACAGTGAGAATTCTTAACATGTGACAACACTTTTTAAAATATTAAAACCATATTCTACTGAAATCTAAAGTTTTACATACATTGACGTAAAGGAACAATAGTAAGATTGTTCTGCATCTGAACCATAGATTTTGCATTCTAGTGGTATTCACAAGTGGGAAGATGATCAAAACATGGACAATTGTGTTATAAAAAATAAGTTATCCAGTAGGGAGTCGGGGCTGCGATTTCTTCCTGGGGTTTTAGTTGTTAAATTCAGGAATTGTCCTTTCTGAAGCTTATGTCATCAGCCCAGACCCTTGAGTAAATTTCTGCCTTGCATTTATTCTACAGACCATCTATTATCCTTGGAATCAGGTTATGGTAAATACATATGACAAACTGATGAACAAAGCCAATAAAAGAAGTTCGCAAAAAAAATAAAAAAAATTTAAAGAAAAAATAGTGATGTGTAATTTCAGTTATTTGTTTTTTAAAAGTATTTTTGAATATCTAAATAATTCAAATAAAATATACCTGAAACACTGAATAATTGTTTAGCCTTAAGATACAGGTAAGTTTGCTATTGTAAGTTTTAAGACTGAGTGTGGTAATTCAAAAATACTTTTGTTTTTAATTATTAAATTTATTTTTCATTTCCTATCCCCTAATGCTTTGTGTGTTATTTCTAGGCACTGTTTCTGCATTTCACCCTCTTGGTGACTAATGATGTATTCAGTGACCCCTATCTACACAGTAGGCTCTATATCAGTTTTAAGTCTATAACAAGTTTTGGCTCTCTTCTGAATGAGAGAGAGCATATAAAGGTAGGATACTTTTATGTTGTATGGGAATAAAACATTAGCAGTACAAAAGGATGACCACAAAATCAAATACACGTTCAGAAATGTTGGGAACAATCTCCAGGGTTCAAAAACATTCCATGCTGAAAGGGAACACGAGCAGGTTAGAAGGAGGGATTCTATGTAATCAGCATAAATTTTTGTTTCTTTTGTGACAAAGTTCCTACTCTACCTTGGGTCTTGCGCTTATTGGCGGATTTGCTCGCCTTGGAGCTTCACGGCAGCCCTCAGCTTGGCCTTTTTTCTGAACCCACAGTCCAGGTTGACTCCTCCTGTGTCTGACCAGGAGTTGGGAGGATTTGGGGGGAACACGGGCCTACCCTCTACTCCGGGTTCCAGCCCAGAGCCCTGTGGAATGCAGCTGTCTAGAGTGCCTCCTGGAACAGCTGTGCGACAGCTACAACTCCCTGGGCTACTTCCCCATGGCCTCCTCCCAACACCTGCTTTATCCTCACCATAGGAACTTCCTCCTGGTGTCTGATAATGCTTGTGCACCTCAGTCCTCTAACAGTCCGTGTTCTCACTCTCAGCTCCTAGTGCCTCTTGCTCCCAGCTCCTCACATTCACACCACAAACTGAAGTGAGCTCCTTTTTAAAACCCAGGTGCCCTGATTAGCCTGCCTTAATTGATTCTAGCAGCTTCTTGATTGGCTGCAGGTGTTCTAATCAGCCTGTCTTAATTATCTCCAGAAGGTTCCTGATTGTTCTGGAACCTTCCCTGTTACCTTACCCAGGGAAAAGGGACCTACTCAGCCTGGGGCTAATATATCTGCCTTCTATTACTCTCCTATAGCCATCTAGCCCGACCCTCTCACACTTTTTACAATTCACATCAATAATACAAGGACTAACTGGTAATATACCGAATGTGTGAGAACCACAAGACAAGAAATGGAATAGCAGCCGTGTACTGAACGAAGCAGCATCAGTTAACTATGCAGTGTTAGTACCCCCAAAGAATCCTGTTAAGACACAGCATTAAGAATTCCTTATTTTTATCCACTTATTTTAAAATTCCTCCACTTTGGAGACTAAAGGAAACAAATCCCAAACTTACTTTCGCTCTGATTTATTGAGTGTCATCTAACAAATGACTGACTTACGAGGAGAGGCTGAGGGAACTGGGATTGTTTAGTCTACAGAAGAGAAGAATTAGGGGAGATTTGATAACTGCTTTTAACTACCTGAAAGGTGGTTCCAAAGAGGATGGATCTAGACTATTCTCAGTGGTAGCAGATGACAGAACAAGGAGTAATGGTCTCAAGTTGCAGTGGGGGAGATTTAGGTTGGATATTAGGAAAAACTTTTTCACTAGGAGGGTGGTGAAACACTGGAATGGGTTACCTAGGGAGGTGGTGGAATCTCCTTCCTTATAAGTTTTTAAGGTCAGGCTTGACAAAGCCCTGGCTGGGATGATTTAATTGGGGATCGGTCCTGCTTTGAGCAGGGGGTTGGACTAGATGACCTCCTGGAGGTCCCTTCCAACCCTGATATTCTATGATTCTATGACTTATTCATGGCCAGTTTTAAATATATAAAATTAACAAGGCTTTTATTTCCACAGTATGCCCAATGACGCTTACATACCAGAATGCCACACCACTCACACCTCATGCCAGACAGCACCTCTGAAGAACCACAGGTTTTCTTGCAGACCTCACAACGAGCACTGGACGAGAGATTTCCCTCCCTCCAATGATGATGATATGTATCCTGAGAAAATGGATCAATCGACTGTATTATGGTAAACACAACCATGTCCCTACATTATTAATTTAAAATTAACCCTAAAGGCTTCAGGAAAAACATCACAGAACGTTGCACATATTTAATGTAATTAATATATACAATAAGTATTTTCCTATTGAAATATGGAGTAAGCAAGTTTGCAGCAGGCCATTAAAATCCCACAGAAAATCAAGGAAAAAGAAGTCTCACTGGCCCGTTTTCCTGAGCATTGTAATGTTTAGCTCTGTAATAAATGCATCAACATAAGGAACAATATTTGGCACTTACATAGCACTTTCCACCTTCACTGCCCATTACAAATCTTAGTTTTCAAAATATTCAGAGAGATTAGAATTAGCATTTTACGGATTAAGATATTGAGCAGCAAACGTTAAACATTTTGCCTGAGACATAAGCAGCAGCCAGCCTGAGGAATGGGTTTAGAGATCTCAGAAATGTGTGGCTTCTATAATAACTCTCTGTGTCCTTGGGGTGTGTCACGTTGCTCAAAAGCTCAAATGCAGAAAAACCACAGGAAAACGATAAAAGACAAAAACCTCACATCACTTGTGGGTAAACACTTTTCACAATTCACTTTATCACTCTACGTCTGCCCTATCAGTCCTCATCCTCAAAGGAAACCTGCACAATCCTTTCAAAAGACGAGCCGGGAAGCTTAAATTCATAACTTTGCTGAACACTCAATATCATGGATTGAACAGAGACAGTGTAGTTATGACTTATTACAACAATCTGTAACCCACTAACAGTCCCCCCAGGCCCCTATCTTCCTTTCCTCCCCTGACTGCAGGGATGTTAACAGGCCGTTTCCCCTGGAGTGGTCCCTTGAAATATTTTTGTTAATAAATTTGTTAGTCTCTAAGGTGTAACAAGTACTCCTTGTTCTTTTTGAAATATGTGATCACTACTTACGCTAAACAATCTGTTCCACCTTGTATTTAGCTGTGACACTCTGAGTACATTTCCCAGACCGGAAGAAGAGCTCTGTGTAAGCTCGAAAGCTTGTCTCTCTCACCAACAGATGTTGGTCCAATAAAGATATCACCTCACTCACCTTGTCTCTAATATCTTGAGGCCGACATGGCTACAACACTGCATACAGAAATATTAATTTTTATTTCATGTTCTACAAACAGTCCACAATGTATTATTCTTACACTAAAGTTATACACAGCAAATTACTTTGCATTTGATCTTTGGCACCTATAGCTACTACAATAACGTGCCCTTACAAAATGCTTGGTCAGTCTTTAGTACGAGAGATAGAAGGCCAAAAATTTTAAAGAGTGGTGCTAAAAGCTACGGTACAACTAACACCACATTTAGACCTGAATTTCAGAAGTGCTCAGCGTTCAGCAGTAACTCTCTACTTCCATGGAAGCTGCTGGTTGCTCGGCACTTCTGAAAATCAGGCCTCAATATCCACTTAATGACCAGAATTTTCAGCAGCCATCTTTTAAAGTTTTGGCCATGAAATCTGAGGTACAACAGGGAGAAGTGCAACAGCTATACAATCATTTTCCCCCTTCACAAAGAGGACACTACAATTTAGAAATGATGCATCAGTATGAAGGGCACATTGTATTTTGATGGTAATTCTATTCGTTCTGCCAACAGGCTTGTACTGTTTAGCATTACAGTTTCTCTAAAAAAGGTTCACATCATAAGAAGCAAAAAAAAAAAAAATACTCTCGGAGAGAAGAGGGAATTTCCATTTCCCCATCACCAGAGCGGTCTTTTGTTTTTTAAATAAAGACCGAGATTTTCTGAACGCTCCTGGATATGTTCAACTTGAGCTCCACTGAGCATGTCTAAAATTCAGCAGCAACAACCTGCTCTCCATTGGACAAATGTCAGTAACACGTTAGAAAACAAAAAGTAACATCAGTTCACAATAAAATCCAATAATATACAGGATGTATTTTTCTGTTCCTTATAGATAAGGAACATCTACCAAACCCATGTCACTCACACAGTAAACCACACAACAGAAACTGGAGGAGGATGTTATTGGGGGAGGGAAGGGAATCAGGTTTGTTTTACATTGAAAGTAACTGATTGTACTTCATGCTCTGTTCTAGCCACACAAGTTAACACTCACATGATCCTGATGCCCATCTTGATGGCACTGACGACAATCGCTACAAGCAAATGGGACACAATCCGTATGCACGTGTAGTTCACACACTGAAAGTAAAAAAATTAAACAGGAAATGTCTAACATCCAGGTTTGTTTTATTTTCCTATCTCCCCACATAGCATTTCTTATGCCTTTTACTGTTCAGCAAATACAAGACATTTATCTGTATTATGGTGTGTGTTATTCAATTTACTTTGCATTTAATTGATGCAACTATTATTTAACTGAAAAAGCAAGTATGTAGGAAGGCAAAACTAATTTTGCGCTTAAGTGATTTAATTATTTCTTCTAATAAAGTAAGATAAGAACAATTGGCTGGCTTATTATAAGGATGTCTATAGTCTGATTCAAAGAAACCAGTCCTCTTCCCTACCATAATCACCTCTCTCACCTTAAACTGGAAATTTTGCTTTAACAAAATGAGAAAGAGTTCAGGAGATCCCCATTAATAGGAAGGGCAACTTTCCCTATTTTCTATTGCTGAAAAATAACAAAGTCCTAAACACAGAAGAGTGATAGCCAGCCAAGACACACCCCAAACAAAAATTACACGGGGACAAATGGCCATGAACCTATTTGGAAGAAGAAGAAAAAGAAAAGAAAATTAGCTACAATCTAAGTTGTAAATAGAACTGTTCTTTAAAAGTGACTGTTCTGGGCGGACAGCAACATTTGTCTCTTCAAATAAATCAAGAACATGAATCTCAGGATTCCACCAAGCCTGCAAACCACCTCTTTCTGTAGCATTCAAGGAATCCATTGTTCCAACCACCTCACACAACTCTGACGAGTATTCCAGATCTGACACAGGAGGTTAGCCCCACTGACAGCCATTAACAATGACAGTCATGCTTTTACGAGAATCATCAAGTTACCCATTCTGTAAGCTTAATTTTAAAAGTGCTCTATAAGTTGTAAGAAATAAAGTCAATAAGCACATTCTAGCTAATTATAGCCCTACACACTGCTGTGGATGTAATTCTCCATTGCACATAAGCAAAGACTGTCTTTGTTTAAATCTACGGGAGAAGCAATATTGTTTTTCTTTTCTGAAAAGAATCCTTCTGAAAACTGCTATAACAAGGTAGTAAGTATGAGATCCCTAAATAGATTAAATACTTCTTAACTTGACTACAAATCTACCCCAAAAATTACCTGGTAAAAAAAGATATTGTGCAATTCCAGGGTTGTTATTTGTCAACTATTTTAAAAAAAAAAATACACATTTGATAAGGAAAATGTTGACAGTTTTGTAAATTCAACCTGGGCTTAGAGACAAGCTGAGTTCTTTCCAGCCACACATCCAGTAATAAAGTTTCTGCAAACCAAATAATGATTTCAGCGAGGTTACACAAGAGTAGCTGATTGGAGCGTAGCAACAATTCTGCTGTTGGTACACTTGGTAGAGTACAATCTGCAGCTCACGCAGCAAAGCTATGTTGGCTCTGCAGTACTAATAGGAGTAAAAGCTGGAACGCGCATTGCAGTTTGGATATGGATATTTGGATATACCTCCAAATACCGAAAAGAATGAATTTGTTGAGTAGGATGGGGACAGTTTAGAGACAGCCACTTTCCTAAAAGAAACGGTCTTTAAAAAGCAAGATGTGCTAAATGTGTCAACTTCAGCCCAGGAGCTTAGGGTCAGAACTGAGCAGTCTTTATGGGCTCTTTCATAAAGCATACTTTGATTGTTTAGTTTACAACTGAAGGACAGTATCTGCAGAAAGGTAGAGGAACTGGTCTATCAAATACAAAGTCATCAAATCAAAACTCATCTCAAGCTCTAAGTGCCCCTCTGTCAACATTTCCATTTCTTTGAACTAGTCAATATGAAGACCATCAAAAGAGAACACAAGTTTTATCACCCAATTAAAAAGAGTATTTAAAACTAACTTTATAAAGCTTTTTTCTGATCCCTGATGCTGCTTACAAGGGTCTTCAGAATGGGCCCAAGACTATCCAACATAACTCCAGGTTCATCCCTATTGCCTCCATGCATGCTCAAACCTATTGTCTCTTCAGTTTCAGCTCTCCTGCCATGCATACAGGGGAACACTAGAGCAGGGATAAAATTTTCAGCAGTGCCTTACCAACTGCCAATGACTTCCATTTTTGAAATGGACATGTCATTCATGAACGGCACAGCCATGCGGGAGTTAGGCAGGTTGCCCCAAACAAGTGCCAATGAAGCCTTCAGACCAACATGTATTATGTTTACGGTACTTTTTACAGAAAAGCTACTTTGGAACATTTTTAGAGTACAATTATTTTTACTGATACTATTTTCATGTCCCTTTAGGTGCCCTAACTACCATCAACAGACAGTGACAGAGAAGTGAGAATATGTTAAAAGCAGTCTAAAAGAGCTTTTCTGTCAAAATTGTTGGTATTTATTTAAGTCCCAGTATTTCAAAAGCCTTCAGGGATAGGTGTTTGTGCTACACACTAACAGAAAGCTCAGAATCACATTTCTCCAAGGGGAGGAGGCTTGCTTTTGGGCCTGTCACTGACCCGCAGCAGCATCAACAATAATTCAAGGACCAGAGTAAAATCAGGGGATGGAATCCACATTTGGTGAAGAGACTTATGTCTGCATGTATTTTTGTTCCTTGTTTTTAAGGTAACTGTTTGAAGGTGCTTGGTAGTTTGCAATGTTGGTTCAGACACAAAGATTATTGGACAGAACACAAATGAAGCAGTCCAGAGAACAAATTAAGTAGAGTTTATCTCATGAATGCAAAAAGAAAGGAATTTATGTCAGGGTTATCATTAGCATATATTATATATCTTTAGATATACACATATATCTATTTTTATGTGACACACATGACTGTGCATATACACATTTTAAATTACCTTCACATCGAAAAGCAAGGGACTCTAACTGCTTTCTGCATACGGTGCAAAACTTTTTTTTGTAATGTCCCGGAGGTCCAAAACAATGTGCAACTGGAACCTGTCAATGAAAATATACAGGGTAAATCTTTAACAATCACTGTCAATGACTATTAAGAAGAATTCTAAATCATTGAAAGTTCCTTTATATACTATATGCTGCAATACATGACTTTATACTATGTGCACACACAGAAGTGAGGAGAAACACAAATTGAAAACAAATACACTAGTTTTATTATAAACACCCAGGCATCTCGAAATTTAAAAAGTGAAACAAGAAAAGGGTGGCACTCATGATGTTTTATTATTGAAATAGCACCCGAAGGCTCCAATTATTATCAGGGTCCCACACAGAGACATGGTCCTTGCCCTTAAGAGTATTTGAACAGACAAGACGAACACAAACAATATACAAGAAAAATGCCAAAAGATGCATATATATCCAGTGAATAATCATTTTTAAAATTAAAGATTTTCTTCCACCCCACTACGCTCCATGTCTTTTGGCCCATCTCAGTCCCATTGCCAAAGAAGGCCATGTCTACACTACGAAAGTACTCCGATTTTACAGAAGTTGATTTTTGGGAACAGATTGTATAAAGTCGAGTGCATGCGCCCACACTAAGCACAGTAATTCAACGGTGTGCATCCACAGTACTGTGGCAAGTGTCAACGTTCTGAGCAGTGCACTGTGGGTAGCTATCCCACAGTTCCCGGAGTCCCCGCTGCTCATTGGAATTCTGGGCTGAGCTCCCAATGCCTGATGGGGCCAAAAGTTTGTCACAGGTGGTTCTGGGTAAATGTCGTCAGTCAACCCTCCCTCCCTCCGTGAAAGCACAGCAGACAATCATTTCGCGCCCTTTTCCCTGGATTGCCCAAGCAGACGCCATAGCACAGTAAGCATGGAGCCCGTTCAGCTCACTGCAGCAGTTATGACCATTGTAAACACCCCGTGCATTATCGTGCAGTTTATGCAGAACCAGCACCTGAAAAACCAGGCGAGGAGGCGACGGAAGCACGGTGATGAGGACATGAACACAGATTTCTCTAAAACCACGGTCCCCAGCAATTTGGAGATCATGGTATTACTGGGACAGGCTCATGCTGTGGAATGCCGATTCTGGGCCCGGGAAACAAGCACAGAGTGGTGGGACCGCATAGTGTTGCAGGTTTGGGATGATTCCCAGTGGCTTCGAAACTTTCACATGCGTAAGGGCACTTTCATGGAACTTTGTGACTTGCTTTCCCCTGCCCTGAAGCGCAAAAATACCAAGATGAGACCAGCCCCCACAGTTCACAAGCGAGTGGCAATAGCCCTGTGGAAGCTTGCAACGCCAGACAGCTACCAGTCAGTCGGTAATCAATTTGGAGTGGGCATATCTACTGTGGGGGTTGCTGTGATGCAAGTAGCCAATGCAATCATTGAGCTGCTGCTACCAAAGGTAGTGACTCTGGGAAATGTGCAGGTCATACTAGATGACTTTGCTGCAATGGGATTCCCTAACTATGGTGGGGCTATAGACGGAACCCATATCCCTATCTTGGGACCGGACCACCAGCGCAGCCAGTACATAAACCGCAAGGGATACTTTTCAGTGGTCCTGCAAGCACTGGTGGATCACAAGGGACGTTTCACCAACTTCAACGTGGGATGGCCGGGAAAGGTTCACGACGCTCGTGTCTTCAGGAACTCTGGCCTGTTTAAATGGCTGCAGGAAGGGATTTACTTCCAAGACCAGAAAATAACCGTTGGGGATGTTGAAATGCCTATAGTTATCCTTGGGGACCCAGCCTACTGCTTAATGCCCTGGCTCATGAAGCCGTACACAGGCACCCTGGACAGTAGTTAGGAACTGTTCAACTATAGGCTGAGCAAGTGCAGAATGGTGGTAGAGTGTGCATTTGGAAGTTTAAAAGGTCGCTGGCGCAGTTTACTGGCTCGCTCAGACCTCAGCAAAACCAATATTCCCATTGTTATTGCTGCTTGCTGTGTGCTCCACAATCTCTGAGAGAGTAAACGGGAGACATTTATGGCGGGGTGGGAGATAGATGCAAGTCGCCTGGCTGCTGAATACGTGCAGCCAGACACCAGGACGGTTAGAAGAGCACAGCAGGAAGTGCTGCGCATCAGAGAAGCTTTGAAAACCAGTTTCATGACTGGTCAGGGTACTGTATGACACTTCTGTTTGTTTCTCCTTGATCAAAACCCACCCCCTTTGTTGTCTCTAAATTCCCTGTAAGCCACCCACTCTCCCCATTTCGATCAAAGCTTGCTTGCAAAGGAAATAAAGTCACTATCGTTTAAAAAACATGTATTCTTTATTAATTGATTATAAAAATAGGGAGATAACTCACAAGGTAGCCCGGGTAGGGTGTGGGAGGAGGGTAGGAGGGAAGGAAAAGGCCACTTTAAAACTTCTTGAATGACAGCCTTCTGTTGTTTGGGCTGTCCACTGGGGTGGAGTGGTTGTGTGCCCGGAGCCTTCTCCCCCCTCCCCGCGGTGTTCTTGGGCATCTGGGTGAGGAGGCTATTGAACCTGGGGAGGAGAGAGTGCGGTTAAACAGGGGTTGCAGCAGCAGTCTGTGATCCTGCTGCTGTTCATGAACCTCCATCAGACGCCAGAGCATGTCTGTTTGATCCCGCAGTAGCCACAGCGTTGCCTCATGCCTCCTCCGATCTTCCTGCCGCCACCTCTCCTCACGTTCATCAGCCACTTTCCTGTACTCTGCTACTGTGTCCCTTCACACATTCTGCTGAGCTCTGTCAGTGCCGGACGACTGCATGAGCTCAGAGAACTTTTCATCACGTGTACGTTTTTTTCGCCGCCTTATCTGAGATAGCCTTTGGGAGGAAGGAGGGAGGCTTGAAACATTTGCAGCTGTTGGAGAAAAAAAAGGGAGTGAAGTATTTTAAAAGACACATTTTACAGAACAATGGCTATACTCTTTCATGGTGAACAACACTATTCACATTACATAGCACATGTGATTTTGGTACACGGTCACATTTGGCATCTTATATTGAGTGCCTGTGGCTTTGGTGTTAGAGATCACAAACGCAGTGCCAGGCAACAGAATTCGGCTTGCAGGCAGCCATGGTAAGCCATAGTCTTTCGGCTTCTGCAACCTTCATAACAGCAGCGCCCTCCTCTCCCATACCAAGCAAAGCACGTTGAGTTGGCCATTTAGTGCTGCAGTTTTCCTATTAACATGCAGCAGCAGAAACCAAACTAACCCCTCCCTCAATTCTCTGGGATGATCACTTTACCCCTCCCCCCACCGCATGGCTGGTATCAGGGAAGATGCCTGCTAGCCAAACGCGAACAGCTCAGCACCAGTGGGCCCCCCCCCCCGCACACACACACACAACATGGTTAACTGCGGGGAGGATTTCTTTTCAGCCACAGGCAAACAGCCCAGTAGGAACAGGCACCTCTGAATGTCTCCTTAATTAAATTCCCCTATTTTAACCAGGTTACCATGAATGATATCACTCTTCTGAGGATAACACAGAGAGATAAAGAATGGATGTTGCTTGAATGCCAGCAAACATCAGGACCAAACACTGCCAGGCTTTGTCATGCAATGATACCAGATTACTTGCTACTAGCATGGCGTGGTAAAGTGTCCTACCATGGAGAAACAGAATAAGGCTGCTCTCCCCAGAAACCTTCTGCAAAGGTTTTTAGAGTACCTCCAGGAGAGCTTCATGGAGATGTCCCTGGCAGAGTTCCGCTCCATCCCCAGACACATTAGCAGACTTTTCCAGTAGCTGTACGGGCCACGAATCCATCCCAAGTCCTCAGGGCTACTTAATCATTAAAAAATGCTTGCTTTTATAACATGTATTATATTTTAAAAGGTACACTCACCAGAGGTCCCTTCTCCGGCTTCGTTGGGTTGGGAGGGTATTTCAGTCAGGGTGATAAAAAAGATCCTGGCTGTCGGGGAGAACAATGCGCTGTGTGCTCTCCTCAAGCTTCTCCTCCTCCTCATCTTCCCCGTCCGCAAAATCCTCAGGCATGGTGGAGAGTACCCCATCATTGGAGTCCACGGACAGGGGTAGTGGTGGCGGCCCCCCCTAGAATTGCATGCAGCTCAGCGTAGAAGCGGCATGTCTGGGGCTCTGTGCTGGAGCATCCGTTTGATTCTTTGGTTTTCTGGTACACTTGTCTGAGCTCCTTAGTTTCACGCGGCACTGTGTTGCGTCCCTGCTGTAGCCTCTGTCCCTCATGGCCTCAGAGATTTTTTTGACATGTTTTGGCATTTCGTCTTTTGGAACGTAGTTCTGATAGCATGGATTCTTCTCCCCATACAACGATCAGAACCAGTACCTCCCATTCGGTCCATGCTGGAGCTCTTTTTCGATTCTAGGACTGCATGGTCACCTGTGCTGATGAGCTCTGCATCGTCACCTGTGCTGATGAGCTCACCTGGCCAAACAGGAAATGAGATTCAAAAGTACAGGCTTTTCCTGTACACCTGGCCAGTGCATCCAAGTTCAGAGTGCTGTCCAGAGCAGTCACAATGGTGCACTGTGGGATAGCTCCCGGAGGCCAATACCTTCGAATTGCATCCACACTAACTCTAATTCGAAACGGCAATGTCGATTTCAGCACTAATCCCCTTGTTGGGGAGGAGTACAGAAATCGGTTTTAAGAGCCCTTTATGTAGAAAAAAATGGCTTTGTTGTGTGGACCGGTGCAGGGTTAATTCGATTTAACGCTGCTAAAGCCAAAATAAACTCATAGCGTAGATCAGGCTGAACTGACCAAGGGTGTCCTCTCCACATGGCCCTCCCAAGGCACAAACTGACAATTACCCAAAAGAACAACTTAACCTTGCAAAGCCTGGACAGCAAAGACACCCATGCCAAACTGCAGCAGTTACAACAATAGCCTGAATATCCCTTATTACAGCGAGGTGGAAGATGACCAGATTGTGTAAATTACTGTGCTGAATCACGAGGATGGATGTATTAGTATTATTGCGACACTGGGAGCCAAATCTGTGGCTTGGCTCAAAGAGGAATTGCTCATCTTCCCAATGGACAGTGGT